CTAGTTCGGGAGCCCAGGAGAAAACTGTTTGCACATCAATGTTGTGATCAATTGACAGTTGTCATAACATGGTATCACCTCACTGTATTGCGGGCTTACTGGTGTCAACCCATCGAGGTCGAGTATTTTACTAGTTACTAGTTTTCAAATGATTACAGGTTCAAGTTAATTATTTTTTAAAATAATTATTCATATGAAGTGTTGTGTTTATGTCACTATGGCCCCACACTAATATATAGATTTAGCTAGGGCTAAAAGCGAGGCTCCCATTAATTTATTTATGATTTTAATCAAACAATAAACTTGTATTCCACAATTTAGTTAACTTTAGAACACATAGCGCATTCATGTGACTTTTGAGGGAAGGGCTAAGTGATTTTAGAGAAAAATAATTTGCAAACAGCCCAAGAGTGAACAAAATCTTACATCGAGTTGATAACCTCATATGTACACCCCAAAAAAACAATCATCTTCGATCACATTTAAGAGCCATAATGGCTCTTGATCACCGTAAGATTAAATTAGGCCTGGAAAAAAAATCAGGTTGAATTTTTTTGCGTTCGACAAGTTTACTTTACAAAATCTTGCCAACAAGTCTGGTTGCGTGTAAACCAACCTTTTATACCATCTATACATCGCATCTGAGGTGAAACAGTACTATGAGGTGCTGTTTTTATCATACAGACCTGGGACAGAATGCAGTATTTCACAATTTTGCAACAGAAATTGCACTCATTCAATATTCAGGACGATCGAAGCACGCGTGGGCTTTTAGCTAAACCGTTAAAAAAATGTCCAAAATCACCTATACAGCCAGCCGGTTCTCACTTTTGCAGTGCGAGCTGTAGCGAATGTTTGAACGAACATACTAGAGTTAAGCTCCAACTTAATCAAGAAATTATTGTTTATTGTCATTTAATGGTGTTATCGATCTGTAATCTTTAAAAGCGTTTGATACGCGCGACATTTTGAGTACTCCTGCAAGCGATGTTCACTGAACGACTGAAAACAAACGGCACAGCGATTAAAATTACAAGGGAGACTACCAACAATCAACAAAGGAAATATAATTCGGCGAAACATACAGAGACAACATTTTTCATTCACGAAGACAAATATTAAAGTGTCTCTAAAAATCCTGAGTCTTCAAGCTTAAAGCTGAAGTTTATGTTTTAAGCCGGCTTTATTTACTTTTTTCACAGATGAACTCGAGGCAAGAAAATCGCTCAAAGCTTTCTTTTACAGCCAGAATTATAACTAAATGTTCCTTGGAACGTTTTCTTTCTATCTGCAGTGAGACAATGTCTAAAGACTTTTTAAAGTTGTGTAAGCTTATATCAAGTTTACCTGATTCTTGGTCAGATCAAATTGTCTCAAATCTTACAAACGTGCATAAACTACATAGCCGCATAAACTACGCTTGACTTCTTTAAATTAATATAAAAAACAAACATCAAACACAATAATTACTGAGGCTTACCATTCGATATGAAGCTCCTGAAAGGTATCAAGTAAGGCCAGTATCGCTTCAGACTTTTCAACCTTTACGCATCAAGCAAGGTGAAAAACAAAAACGTTGACACCCGAAATCGGATTCCCGACTTTGACAAGTGATGTATTAATTTCTCAACCAAAAACCAACTAGCCATCAATAACAGAAGGCTCCTGATAGCAGCTGAATTTCATTTTGTGCATCCAGTGGAAAAAGACAGTTAAAAACATGACAAGTTGACACAAAACTCTCTCAGCTTCAGTTGTCAAAGTAAACAAGATTCAAGATGCTGCATAAATTTTCCGCATGAGCTCACCTGTCAAATTTTGACCAATCAGAGCATAAAAAAGGGACGTAGAGTGTGGCCAACGCGTGACCATGGTGAGCAACGTCAAAAGAAACTGTCTTGCCTGTAATAGCTGGCTGAATTTTCGGGTCCGAGGTCAGTCAAAATTTTAGTTGTGCGGCCCAAAAACAAAACATATTTCATATGAATGAAAAAAAATCAAACTTGAGCCTGCGATCATTTGAAAACTAGTAACTTGTCAGCGGATAACTTCAAAAAAATACTTGACCTTAATGGGTCAAGACCTGAGCCCGCGATACGGTCAAGTGATACTGGTCGGCGGATACCCTGTTTTGACAGCTGTCAATTGATCAAAACATTGATGTCCTATGGATGTGCGCATTATCAGTTTTCCTGTGCTCTCAAACTAGCTAGAAAGTATGAGATTGAACATTGATCGCGATCTAGTAAAACAACTGGTCAGCGGACAGCTTCCAAATAAATCACGTCACCTTGATGAGTTGACACATGAGCCCTCGATATGGCAATATGATACTGGTCAGTGGCTATCCTGTTTTGACAGCTGTCAATTGACCATATTGTGAATGGCCAATGTAAAAGATGTGGATTTGCCAAGACACGCCTGAGAAACCACTCTTTTCCTTTTGATAGTCTCCCCTACCCTACCCGTACAATCTGTAGACGCGTACGTACGTACGTACGTACGCTCGGTCATTCACGTGACAACCAAAAGAAAAGAGGCTGACCACATTCTATGAGTATGGGGCTCTGTCCCACGCGCGCTTCGCGCGCGAGGGAGCCCTACTATTAAGATTTTGATTTTAAACTGACCTTGGATGCAAAAATTCAGCCACTTATTTAAGGATAAGACCTTTTCTTACCATCGTCACACGTTGATCACTCTCTACGTTCAATTTTTATGTTCTGATTGGTTAAAATTTGACAGGTGAGTTCATGCAGAAAAATTTATGCAGCATCTTGAAACTTGTTTACTTTGACAGCTGAAGCTGACAGAGTTTTGTGTCAACTTGTGATGTTTTTTTAACTGTCTTTTTCCACTGGATGTGTAAAATAAAATACAGCTGCTGTCAAGAGTCTTCTGTTTTTAATGGCTGGTTTGTTTATTGGGTTTTTGGTTGAGAAATGCGTTGCTTGTCAACGTCAAAACCGATTTCGGATGGCATCGTTTTCGTTTTTCACTTTTTTTAAAGTCTCAAGCAATGCTGGCCTTACTTGATAGCTTTCAGGAGCTGTATTTGAAGATTTTTTTGTTTTTTTATTATCTAATTTCATAAAGTCGAGCACAGTTTATGCGGCAAGTTTGTGCACGTTTGTAAGATTTGAGACAATGATCTGACCTAGTATTAGTTTTGACGTAAGCTTACAGAATTTTTAAAAGCATCTAGATATATTATCTCACCTCAAAAAGAAAGAAAACGTTCCGTTTGGCTGTAGAAAGATTTTCTTACCTGGAGTTCATCTTGTGAAAAAAACAAACACTGGGAGGATCCCAGTTATCAGATCCCAGTTATCCACATATTGGCTGAGAACAATCCTGTGAATCTATATAACCAGCATGAGATTACAACAAATTAATAAACCTATATTCTACTTGAGAGCAACAGATCGATATCCACCAAATGTCTCAGAACAGAAAATTTACAATGAACTTGCAAAACAAAGAGGGGGTCTTGATTTCGAAATCAACATCAAATAAACATTGAGGATAATGCTAAGAACCAATATTGACATTGTAGACAGATTAATAAATGGACAACTTGGTACTATACTCAGAATAGATGTTAGTCAGAGGACTCAAAAGTCAACTATTATCTACATTAAATTTGGTGATAGCAAAGCTGGAAAAAATCTTATTCACAAATTGAATAACCAGGTTGCTAAAAAAATATTTTTGTACCATTTGAACCAATATTAGCAAGACTTAACTAAGACCAGAAAAGCCATCATCACCAGACTTTCAGAGAGTAAAATTCCCTATAACACTATCATGGGCCTGTACCGTACATAAAGTTCAAGAATTAACATTAGACAAAATTGTTGTTAGTTTGAGTGTGGATGGTCAGAAATATTTTAACTACGGTCAAATATATGTTGCAATTAGTCAATATAAAACATTAGAAGGTATACATATGCTTGGAGAAATTGAAAAAAAAAACATGTCAGAGCAAATTGGAAGGTGTTGTTCACAAACCAGCGATTGTGAGGAAGATTGAGGGAAGTAGTATATATAATGATAAATGTGCTAAATATGGGATCTCTTCGAAAACACAACGTAGACATAAAATTTAATGGGAATATAAATGACAGTGACCTACTATTGCTAACTGAAACACTACTTCTTCCACAAACTGATGACAGGGAAATCAGAAACAATTTACCCTATACATTACAGAGGCAAGATCACGCTTTTGACAAATTTTGTAGTTTAGCTACTTGTATGAAAAGCATTATGTTCAAATTAGACAACATGAATATTTTCCAGTTCTAAATGCAGTTAAGTTTGTTGCTCTCGACACAAACACAGGCAGTTTAAACGATTGATTGTTGTGCTGTGTTACTATTCTGATAATGAGGCTGTTAAAGTGAGAATTAGTGTAGACTCATTAGATGTAGTGTAAGTATGTTATTGCACATGCATGCATCAATAATAAATATTGATGAACAAATTCTTTTCACAGCAAGTATTTCAAATACTTGTCGGTAAGCTTTGCGTTGTCTAAGAGTTATGTTATCTTGACAATAGCTGACAAAAAATTAGAGTAATTGACCGCTGTTATTTTGCTTGATATCATTAAGCTGTTTTTCTATCAGTAATTTCCGCAGACATGTCCGGAGATAAACCTAGTGATTAATCGAACCAATCACGAACAACTACGCGGTTTTTTCTTACATCAATCCTTGTGTAACTAATCGGATGCAGGTTAAAAAAGAAAAAGGACAATTGGAATTGAGAGAGATTTGAGTGGAAGCGCACGTGTTTGTTGTAAATCTAAGAGATCGTGGTTTATATTGGAATAAAACGTGGAAATCTACTTTATCGTGACTTTTGTTGGAGAGCACTGTTCTTGGAGGCGAACAAATCTCCAAACCTGGCACCTCCGACGGGACATTTGGACAAGCAAACTGCAGAATCTGTTGTGAGTATAATTTTGTCCTGCATTTTCGTCAAGAGAGGAAACAATGACAACTGTAGAGAGCAATCTGGAAACCAAACTTACACAATTGGACATTAACGTGAAGAAAACTAACGTCGTCATTGAGAGCCAAAACCCAGAGGCTACTGAGCGACATCTACAAACTTTAAAGGCAATCTCGGACACTGTGAATCATTTGAGACTTGAGATCGAAGCGAAGAAAATTGAATCGAAAGTAAACAGCCATGCAATTCAAACTTGGAACGACGATGTAGACTCTAAACTACAAGCAGCGGACGTCGAAATTGGGAGGATAACGTAAATAAGTATGCGATCATGAAAAAGAAGCAGAGATAAACGCGAAGAAGGAACAGCTGCAATTCGAAGAAGAAATCCAAAAGATGAAGCTGCAACTAAAAGCAGACCAACTAGCCAAGACGACAAGCCAAAACGAAGGAGTCGGTCAAGGCTTATCTTCTTGTGGTGTACAAGCAAAACTACCAAAACTTCTGATTACAAAATTCGATGGTTCTCATATGGATTGGCCACGATTTTGAGGAGAATTTGCGGAGAATATTGACAAGACAAATGTCGCGCCAATCACCAAATTCACTTATTTACGAGAGTTGGTCACCCCACAGGTTAGCCGGATGATCGAAGCCTTACCTTTCACTGCAGAGGGGTATAACCCCACGAAGAGCATATTCAAGGAGAAGTTCGGCAAGGACTCGGAAATAATCAAGGCTTACACAAAGGAGATACTCAAACTTCCTACCCTGATGGGCACAAATCCCAAAGCTATAAGCGATTTCAGTGAGAAACTAACCTATTGTGTGCAAGCTTTACAAACGCTAAACAAGCTAAAGCAAGTAAACAGAGCTACTTTGATGACCCTGGGATTCGTGGGGACCTTGTGCGTACAGACCCGGAATGGGAGAAATGGGATTTTGTGAAACTCAGCGAGGCCATCCGTTTGTGGACAAGAAGAAATCATGTCGATACGAAATCAAATGAGAGAGATTCGGGTGAACGGTGAAACCAGAAGTGGGATTGATCACGCAAACTCTACAAGCGCGTGGGCAAGATTTCAACCCAAAGAATGCGTTTACTGTGAGGATGTGAGTCACAAACCATTGAACTGTCAAAAGATTACAAAAATCGAAGAAAGAAGCGCAACACTAGTGCAGAAGAATTTGTGCTTTAATTGTGCCACACCTAACCATTGCGCCGCGGAATGTTTTAGGAAAGCCACGTGTCAGCATTGCAAAAAACGACATCACACGTCAATATGCGACCGTAACCTTACACCCAAAGATGAAAGGAAGGATAGAAATACCGTAATGACCGCAAGTGGAAGTAACGAAGGAATATTGCCGATAATCCCAATCAAAGTTGACGGGGTAATTTGTCGTGCGTTAATCTATACTGGGGCCGGAAGTTCGTACGCTTCAGGGAAGCTAATAGATCTGCTCAAGAAGAAGCCCTGTGAGACGAAAACAAGACGAGTGGATATGCTTATAAGTTCCCAAGTAACAAAGCTGGAAATGTACGATACACTAGTTGAATCATTGGACGGGGATTTCAGCATGAGTGTTAAACTTACTAAGGTTCACAAAGGAGAACTCTTAACTGTCGTAAATCTGCACCATCAACAGTTAATCGACAGCTACAGTCATTTAAGAGGAGTCAAGATTGAAGATTTAGACTCAAAGGAAGAACTTCCCGTGCACGTGGTACCAGGGAGTGGCGAATATGCAGGAATCAAAACCAAAACTAAACCGCACATTGGCAGAGATGGAAAACCAATAGCTAGCGGAGAAAACAAAACTGGGGTGGTTCATAATGTTGCCGGGACAAGAATTCGACCCTAATCACATGATGTTAACTCAAACTAGTCAAACTGATTATGAAGAACTTTGTCATCTGGATGTCCTAGGTTTAGCAGATTCTTCAGAGCATGATCAACTAGCGGTCTACTTTAAGGAGAAGCTGGTAAGAAACAAAGAAGGATGGTACGAGACAGGTCTACCATGGAATGGAAATCAGCCCCCTTTACCCTCTAACAAGCAAGGAAGTCTTCGCCGTCTGACTAACCTGAACAAGAAACTTGAGCGTCATGGTTTGACAGTTGAGTACGATCAAATCATTCGAGAACAGAAGCAACAAGGGATCATTGAAGACTGCCCTTTTGAGCCTACTGGAACTGAGTTCCACATTCCGCACAAACCTGTAATACGCAAAGAAGCTGCGCGCACTAAACTACGAGTAGTGTACGACGCCTCAGCCAGAGTTCACGCAAGCGCTCCATCTTTGAACGAATGTATATACCCAGGGCCCCCGCTACAAAACAAGTTATGGGACGTCTTGGTTCGGCAACGTTTTCACCCTGTAGCGATATTCAGCGACATCCGGAAAGCCTTCTTACAGATACGAATCAAGGAAAATGAGCGTGAAGCACTTCGTTTCCACTGGCGTATGAACGAACACTCTAATTTAGAGACACAGATTCACACGTGCTTTATTCGGTTTGACTTGCTCGCCTTTCT